TCATAGCTCTGACATTCTAACACTTTTAATTGCACAATTTTTTTCTGAATGTTTTTCAAGAACAAATTGATATATTGGCAATCAGACTCTGATTTAATCAATCGGGTTCTAGTATATAATCAGGCGCTGTTATTCTTAATCTAACAAGATCTTATAAGACCAATCAGGCTCTGGAATATAAGCAGGCTTTAATTTCTGAATTTGATAAGAACTTTATAATCAGGATCTGGTACCCCAAATCTGATAAGATTTTTTAAAGTCTTAGATTCAGGGGGAGCTTGATAAAGGGAAGTTCTTTCTAAACTTATCTCTATTATATTCTATTGATTATCTTCGTACAAAATTATGTCATCAAAATACATAGTTTTGTCATTATCAAAAAGGGGGAGATTGTTAGAACAAGATTTGGTTCTGACAGATATCTCTAAGTTTTGATAATAACAAAGTAGTATTTGTGTGAGAATAATTTTGGTACTCTAACGTTTGTTCTTCTGAAGAATTAACAAATAGGTTTTGACTCTGATAGAGAAAGTTATGACTCTGATAGAGACCATGTGCAATGTCACTATGATCTAACCAAAGTCGCTTCTACATTATAAGAAGCAAGTTTGCTTCTGATCTACTCACATTCAAAAAGATTCTGAGAAGACAATATGTTGCTGCTGCAATGCTCTCTTGGTTTCTGCCTCTGAGCATGACTCTGATATTTTACTTCTGAAGGCTTTCTAGCTTCTGAAGTATTTATCTTCTGAAGACTAAGTGTTGAAGACTCTAAAGACAAGGTTCTACTGAACAAATTTTTGAAGACTCTGAAGACTTGAGTTTCTAAAGATTAAGTGTTGAAGACTCTGAACACAATGTCTTAACCAAATTTGTTTTAAGCAATTTCCCTTGTTATGAAGTCTGGGACTGCGTTAGCCAAGTTTGACAATGTATTAACCACGTTCCAGTAATGTATTAACCAAGTTTATTTTAAGCAATTTTCCTTGTTTTGAAGTCTGAGATTACGTTAACCAAGTTTGACAACGTATTAACCAAGTTCTAGCAATGTATTAACCAAGTTTGTTTTAAGCAATTTCCCTTGTTTTGAAGTCTGGGACTGCGTTAACCAAGTTTGACAATGTATTAACCAAGTTCCAGCAATGTATTAACCAAGTTTGTTTTAAGCAATTTCCCTTATTTTGAAATCTGGGTCTGTATTAACCAAGTTTGACAATGTATTAACCAAGTTTCAACAATGTATTAACCAAGTTTGTTTTAAACAATTTCCCTTGTTTTGAAGTTTGAGACTGGATTAACCAAGTTTCAGTAATGTATTAATCAAGTTTGTTTTAAATAATTTCCCTTATTTTGAAATCTGAGACTGCATTAATCAAGTTTGACTTCCATTAACCAATTTCTAGTAATGTATTAACCAAGACTAAAATTGTATTAACAAAATAATTTTATATATTATATACACCAACAAAGTTTTGTATAATTGTTATAATGACAAAAGTAAATTTACAATATTGTAACATTCACACTCCAAAAGTATATCTACACCCCCTAAATTTTTATGCCATGCAATTTAAATTTATTGTAATTATTTTATGATGATTTTTATTATTTGATATTATCATTTATTATTTTATCACTTTCTCTACGAAAATAGAAATATTCATAATTTTTATGAAAAATATGATAGCTTATCATTTAATCATTTAACATTTAAAAAAATTTAAAAAAAAAATATTTGATAACCCTTACCCTATATAATTTGAGTATTGGATTTAGTCAAACTCATACTGACTCATATGAGCTCTGTTTTATAAGCCACATTTTCAAACTTATAGCTTATATTTTATAAGCTCATATGATAATTTAGACCTCTTTAGTAACGGTTTTTTTATCACAAATTTATAGCTTATTCTACTAGCTTATAGTTTATTTTTCAAACGCTATTTCAAATAACATTTTAACTTATAGCTTATTATCTTTTCTTCCATTTTTATTCTTATTATTTTAACAAAAATCCTTTTTTATTCTTTAAAATTTATTTTAGTTTAAAATAAAATAAATGTGTATTAAATATCTTTTATGTTATTTTACTATCTAAGTTAGTTGAACCGTTAATTTTATCAAACACTTTAATTAGCTTATCAACTATTGGACATCAACCATCCGCTATAAGCTATCAGTCATCAGTCATCAACCATAAGCTATAAGAGCAACTTTAACGCATAGTAGCAACTTTAACGCATAGTTGTTAAACCAAAATTTTGTATAGCTTACGTTAGTAATAAGGAATTTGCATTATAGTAGAGCTGACATGGCATATGGGATGCTCTAAAACTAGTTTACGTGCTCTACACAAACAACGTACTCTAACTCATTATTTAACATAAATAATAGATTTTTATTAATTATTTAACGTAAATAATAGATTTTTATTAACCATTTAATACCAAGTTTGAATTCCTTATAAACAATCACCATTGAAGTAAAAACTTCTTAATTCAATTTTAGATTGCTTAAATCCTTCATGTCAATTTGGACCCACGTAAAATAACTTAGTTCATTCAATTTAATTGCTCCCATTAAAGATGCCCTAAGCTAGTTTATCAGTCAACCGCTATTTTTATCAAACAGAACCATAGTCATGTAATAGTAGTAAATTACTCTCTCTGTTCCAAATTATAAGTCACTTTGTCAAAACAATTGTCGCAAATTATAAGTCACCTTACATTTCCAATGTAATATTAATGATACTTTTTCCAATATACCCCTAAATATTTATTATTATTTATTCTTTCAACTCTTTTAATTTTTCTCTACTGTCTAATTATGAGAGACACTATTGTAAAATCATAGGTAATTATGAGAGACACTATTGTAAAATCATTGATAATTTTTCTTTTCTATAAAATAATAATTAAGTTTTTTAATTAGTGTAAAATTTATAATTTAGGGACGGAGGTAATATAACGATTCTAAATAGTAGTAACAACATTTGGGGACGGAAGTTGAATAACTTTGTGATAAATGGACACTAAGCACACAAGAAACTATACTCAATTTGAGGTCACTCCATATATTCCGGACATAAAGTTGCCAAGTTAAAAAACACATTTATTATCCTTAATCAGAAAGGTCCTAAATTATTTCTACACTTCTCCCAGAAAAATAATAATCTATGAAATTGTACTCAGATGAAATAGGGCCTACAACAAAAGAAAAGCTTCCTTTCAGCAAAAACTCAAGACCGTTCATATGCAAACCATGCCATTATACCATAAACAGATCATCGAGCCCTGAAATAAGGAAGGAAATGTTAGGGAATTTCAGGTTTAGCAGATGGCATCCTAATGAGATGTTAGAGAAAATTTACTTCGAAATCTAAAAACTACTGGTTACTTCAAAAATAAAAGGCATTTGTTGTATCTTTCTGGATGCGAAGAAGAGGCAGACACATTCAGTTTCAAAAAGTAATCCATACACTGGTGGTACTAGATCAAACAATTTAAAGCATACCATGTTAAGAGAAATGGCCCTATATTACTACAAAACTATACCATCATTAACTAACTGAATATTGTCATATGCAAAGTAAACAATTTATATTTTGATAGATCATAACCACCTTATTTGGATAGACCACATTTTACATTCTTTCCACATGCAAGTTGGACGCATTAGAAAAAGTTAAAAAAATTCCTGTCCTCAATCTGGACAGTATCTGAACTCTAAATAAGAAAATGGCAACTGATAGAAGATTTTCTTTTAATAATTACTACCAGGGATAAATCTGCACCGTATTTATGTAGATTAATTGGAAATACTTGTAGAGGAAGTTAAAATCCTTGTGAAAATATGAAGATGTGTTTAATAGTTACCATGAACACTGGATTTAATGTATCCAATGAATTGTTAGCATAGTTTTAGAATGCAATCCCCCGCTTCAATTATGACTGCAGCATCGAGGGGTTTAGGTATTCGCCACATTTGTTCGCAACTGAACCGCATGAGCGCAATAACAATGGTTATTTCAGTGGCTAATAATTCATTCAACAAACCGATGTTTTTAGATTACAAATCCTATTCTGCTATTTTAATTAAGCTCAACTAGGAATAGAATGCATAAAGCTCCATCCATGACGAGGGGACTAACTAACAAGCCAAGCTCCCAGAAGAATACCAGTAGGAATACAGTTTCACACGCTTAATCAATTATGCAAATCTTAAACTACCAGTACAACCACGAAAAATAGGATCTACAGCAGGGTCCTTTTTCCTTCCTATTGCTAAGTCCATTGCATTTTCATCATGCAAACAGTCTAAGGTTTCGTTGCTATATACTTGGGCAGAAAAAGGACAGAAATTTCTCAATTAAAAGATAATATAACTATCTCCAACATGTGTGAAAAAACACCTCTTAAGAAACGCCGATTGGGAGAAGAAAAGTTAGAACAGCACCGTGGGCCCTGTGTCTAAGTCTAATCCGCCTAAAAACTATAAGTACAACCTACCGAGAACCAAAACAAACAACCATAATCACAAGAATCCACTATAAAATCCATTAATTCAACTGGAAGACTAAGAAGCAACACCCCACTTTGTCCCAAATCACTCTACATCAAACAATAATACAGCCACAATGTCAATATCACAGTGGCTTTTACCAACAACTTCAACACCAACTACTTAACTAGAATTGAAATAGCAAGGACAACTAATACAATTGAAATTAAAGAAACTTATTAACTATTAATCATCTATATATAGCCAATAGCAACCATAAATACGAAGAACAGACACTCATGCAGATTGCAATGTAGCAAGTAGAAATGAACAAGGGTTTTATAAAAGGTCTGCAACCGCAATTTGAATTGTGACAGCAAGGTATTTGATATATTGATTGCAATGCACCTCATTTCATGACTATTACACCGCAATGAAAAACGAAACTCAATAAATAAATAAAAATTTGAAAAGTGAGGAAAAGAAGATTACCACAATAATCAACTGGCGGCATTAAGAGCCATCATCAGGTTCTTTCCACCAGGAAGATAAATAACATTAGGCGATTTCGCAAGCGTTGCAGCAACTTCCCTGGAAGCTTCAATCCTCCTCAATTCAATCAACCCCATCCCAGCAGCAGCAGTAGCATCAGAAATCAACTTAGCAGCCTCACTCTCTCCTTCAGCACGAATAATTGCAGCACGACGCTCCTGCTCAGCCTTCATGACAACAAATTTCGATCTCTCGGCTTCCTGTTGAGCAACCTGCTTCTGCTCAACAGCACGCGAAAATTCAGCACCATAAGACAAATGTGTGATTGCCACGTCGTCGAGAAGGATGTTAAAATCCCTAGCACGTCGGACAAGAGTCTCCCTGACAAGTGCAGAAACCTGTGGACGTTCAGTAAGAAGTTGATCAGCGTTGAATTGCGCAACAACGGATTTCAGAACTTCGTTACCAATCGAAGGGAGAACTTTCTCGTCGTATTCGAGACCGAGGTTTTGAACTATGACAGGGAGTTTTCCGGTGTCGGGACGAGAGAGGACTCTGAGAGTTAGGTTAACCATTTGAAGATCTTTGGTACCGGAGATTGACGAGAATGTGTGGGGACGAGTTTTGATATCGAAAATGTATGGTTTTTGAACCCATGGGATGAGGAAATGAGTTCCCTCGCCGATTGATTCGTCGAGGATGCCGCGGAAACGGTCGAAGAGGACGGCGCGTTGGCCACCATCGACCGTGTAGAGGGAGGAATTGAGAACGGTGGTTCCAACGCCGAAGCCGATAGCGGCGCGGGCGAGGTTTGTTAGGATGGAGACTGCGGCTTGGCTGCTTCCCATTTGGAGTTGAAAGAGGGTTTAGGGTTTAAGAGAGGATGGAAGGTTTTTGTTTTCAAACATTTCTGGTGATTTATATGAAAAATGGATTTCTTGATTGGGAAGATAACTAAATTGTTTCTCTACAATGGTGGCAGGAATAAAAATTTGTTTTTCGTTTTTACAAAAAATAAAAAACAGCAATAGTAAATTGTAAATGACTAACAAAAATGATATCTTGACACCCAATTGTAGGCTTATACCGTATATGGTTTTTTAAAATATTGGTTTTTTTTTAATCCAGCTAACACATTACATAAGTGTAAATGAGTAATTTTGTTTTGAGTGCTAGGATAAATCACTCGGTTACTTATTCTCTCTCACCCAGCGCTGCATCTCTTTCACTATTTTCCCCAAAAAATTCTCTCTCTCACAAGACACTGTTCATTCGTCTCTCACCTAGCGCTGCTTCTTCACACAACGACGGACGACAACGCTGTCACCAACAACGACGCTCTCTCACCGACGACGTCACTCTTTCTACTCTCATCACTGTTGGCGTTAGCTGTCAACAAAATTGTAGGGACTATAATAGAAATATAGTTATTAATTGTTAATTTCGCTGATTTGGTTATAATTATTTTGATTTAGTTATAATTAGAAATAGGGTTTTCTGTGTATATAAATATAACTAATTCCCATCTGATGTATACAATTGAAATATATGAAAAATATTATACCAATTTAACATGGTATCAGCCGCCAGGTCTTAATCCAGACCTACGGTAACACTTTCCATCCTTCTTCCATGGCCGACTCGGATTCAAACTCCGATGAGACTACCTCGTCTTCTATTCTTGCTGAGTTGACGACGAAAATGACGGAAGTCCTGAACCGTGCTTCAGCCCCGTCACAAATTGGCTCCGACCATACGGTGGCACCGATTGGCATCAAGTTAGATGGCAGCAACTATCCCCTTTGGTCCCAGGTGGTCGAGATGTATATCTCGGGCAAAGACAAACTGGGATATATCAACGGAGATTTCCCGCAACCCCCTCAAACAGATCCTACATTTCGACGTTGGCGGACTGACAACGCGATTGTTAAGGGATGGATAATCAACTCAATGGACTCCTCTCTAATCAGCAACTTTATTCGATTCTCAACTGCCAAACTGGTGTGGGATGCAATTGCGACCACGTACTTCGATGGCAGTGATACCTCCCAAGTGTATGACCTTCGGCGACGGGTGACACGTCTTAGACAAGCCGGTGGTTCTCTTGAAAAATATTATAACGATCTCCAAGGGCTTTGGCGTGAGATAGATTTTCGTCGTCCAAATCCGATGACATGTCAAGTTGATATCCAACACTACAATACACTTGTCCAAGAAGAACGAGTGTATGTGTTTTTGGATGGACTTGATGACCGCTTGGATAATATCAGAAGCGACGTTTTACAAATGAAACCGTTTCCAACAGTGGAGCAAGCATATGCACATGTTAGGAGGGAAGCTCTTCGTCAGGCAGTGATGACAGACAACTCCAATGAATTATCAGGAGCAGGTCTTGCATCCAAGGGTCTCAAATTACAAAACAATAAGATATTTTCTCAATCCAAACATAAAGAACCATCTAATGACACTAAGTGCTCTCATTGTGGAGGTAACAAACATACTAGTGAGTCATGTTTTAAGCTTCATGGCTATCCAGACTGGTGGGCAGACTTTCAGGCTCGAAAGCGTCGCGAAACAACTGAGAGCAACCCGGGCAAAGCTGCAGTAGCTACTGCTGAACCACATCTTTCCCTCATTCCGAAATCAAGTTCCCACACCACTGAAGGTAATGTTCTAATTTGCTCTAATCATGATGATGACTCTAACGCATGGATACTTGATTCCGGAGCTACCGATCATATGACGTTTGATGCTGCTGATTTCTCTGAACGTTCAATCCCTCGGCGCTCAAGTATTGCCAACGCAAATGGTGATTTATCGGCGGTAACAGGGGCTAGAACTGTGATGTTATCACCAACCCTTTTGCTTTCAAATACATTACTTGTTCCCTCTCTATCTCATAAGTTGTTGTCTGTGAGTCAAGTTACAAAAGACTTGAACTGTGTTGTTCTAATTTATCCATCTTTCTGTTTTCTTCAGGATATTCTCACGAAGGAGATCATTGAGCGTGGTACTAAGAGAGGGGGACTTTACTATATGGAAGATTTTAGTGTAGGCCGAGCGCATCACATGCATTATCCAAGAAACAACAAAATGGAGCAAGTCTTACTTTGGCATCGTCGATTAGGCCATCCTTCGTTTGGCTACTTGAAACATGTGTTCCCAAACTTATTTTCAGATAAATCTTTGTTGAACTTCAAATGTGAAGCTTGTATTTTAGCCAAGAGTCATCGAGTCACTTTTCCATCAAGTATGAATAAAAGTAATGTTCCTTATGCTTTAATCCATTCTGATGTACGGGGTCCATCCCCAAAATCGTCTCTCTCTGGTTATCGGTGGTTTGTTATATTTGTTGATGATTGCACTCGAATGACTTGGATTTATTTGTTGAAACAAAAAAATGAAGTGGTACACATATTTCAACAATTTCATAAAATGATTCAGACTCAATATTCAACGAAGATTAGGATCCTTCGCTCTAATAATGGTGGGGAGTTTGTAAATCACCAATTCCATGAGTATTTAAAAAAACACGGACTTATTCACGAAACCACGTGTCCACAAACTCCACAACAAAATGGTATTGCAGAACGGAAAAATCGCCATATCCTTGAAACTGCTCGCGCTCTTTTACATGGAGCACATGTGCCTCACAACCATTGGACTGATGCTGTTACTACAGCAGTATATCTCATCAATCGGATGCCATCGAAGGTTCTTGAATTTAAAACTCCGCTGCAGACCTTGTCCACATTTGTACCGCTGCCTACAATACAAATGCTGCCACCTCGTGTCTTTGGGTGTGTTGTGTTTGTTCACCTACATAAAAACCAGTGTACAAAGCTTGATCCGTGTGCCATTCGCTGTCTGTTTTTGGGATATGGTGTACACCAGAAAGGGTATCGTTGCTATGACCCTACTACTCGACGCATTTATGTAACTATGGATGTTACATTCTTGGAATTTGACCATTTCTACTCCTCGACAGCACCCAATTCTTCTCTTCAGGGGGAGACACCAGAAGAAGAGTCGAATTGGTCGACATTTGACTGGTTCAAAGATATTGATATACCATCAACTGAAGTGGCTGGTGATTCGTGTCAAACTCAAACAGACCATATGAGTCCTGAAGTTGAAGTATCAGAATCCCCCCCTCTCCAATACTCAACGATCCATCTCCTGAGAATATCATTGAGGTAAGCTCTCATATATCTCTTGATAATAATAATAATAGTGATATCTCTGTTAGCTATGAATTACCTCATAGGCATAATCGGGGAAAACCACCGAAGCGTTACTCTCCTGAAGAAGAGGATCATCGATCGAGGTATCCAATTGCTAATTATGTCTCTATGAAGGAATTACTGAACCCCTTAAGAAATTTGCAAATGAACTATCTTCACACAGTGTACCTAGCAACGTTGAAGAGGCCATTGAAGACACTAGATGGGTTCAAGCTATGAATGAAGAAATGGAGGCATTAAACAAGAATGCGACATGGACCCTTGTCCCTTTACCAAAAGGAAAGAAACCAGTAGGGTGTAAGTGGGTTTTCTCTATCAAGTACAAAGCTGATGGGTCAATTGAAAGGTACAAAGCAAGACTAGTAGCTAAAGGCTTTACACAAACATATGGCGTAGACTATCAAGAAACCTTTTCTCCTGTTGCCAAGTTGAGCACTGTCAGAGTTCTTTTATCTCTTGCAGTAAATCTTGATTGGCCATTGCATCAGTTAGACGTGAAAAACGCCTTTCTCCATGGGCACTTGAAAGAAGAAATATATATGGATATCCCTCCGGGATACATGACAAACTATGAGACTAAAGTGGTGTGCAAATTGCAACGCAGTTTGTATGGCTTGAAGCAATCTCCTAGAGCGTGGTTTGGGAGATTGAACTTGGCAATGAAAAAATATGGCTTCCAACAAAGCAACGCAAATCATACGTTGTTTTTGAAACACCGTCAAGGTAAGGTCACAACTTTGATTGTGTATGTAGATGACATGATTATTACAGGAGATGACTCTGAGGAAATAGCAAAACTTCAAAAACATCTGGCAACCGAATTTGAGATGAAAAATCTAGGTGGACTCAAATATTTTCTAGGTATTGAAGTTGCTAGGTCAAAGAAAGGCATCTTTTTATCTCAACGAAAATATATCTTAGATCTTTTATCAGAAGTTGGGCTACTAGATTTTAAACCTGTAGATACTCCAATTGTCCAGAACCACCAACTTGGAGAATATCCAGACCAAGTGCCAACAAACAAAGGAAGGTACCAGAGATTGGTTGGCAAACTTATTTACTTATCTCATACACGACCTGATATAGCGTATGCGGTAAGTGTAGTAAGCCAATTTATGCACAACCCGAGTAAAGATCACATGGACGCGGTAATTCGAATCATGCGATACTTGAAGCCCTCGCCTGGAAAAGGCTTGATGTTCACAAAGAATAATCATGTACAAGTTGAATGTTATACAGACGCTGACTAGGCTGGAGATATCACCAACAGAAAATCCACCTCAGGCTATTTTACCTTTGTTGGAGGAAATTTGGTTACATGGAAAAGTAAGAAACAAAATGTTGTAGCATTATCAAGTGCTGAAGCAGAGTTTCGAGGGATGGCTAAAGGTCTTTGTGAGCTTCTCTGGCTTCGAAGACTGTTAATTGAAATTGGCTTTGCTCCGAATAGTGCGATGAATCTTTTTTGTGACAATAAGTCTGCAATTGAAATTGCTCATAATCCGGTTCAACATGATCGAACGAAGCACGTGGAAGTAGATCGACACTTTATTAAGCAAAATTTGGAGACCAAGATAATTCAATTTCCGTTTGTTAAATCTGAAGATCAATTAGCAGATATACTCACAAAAGCTGTATGTAGTAGAGACTTCTACAACGCACTTGACAAGTTGGGCATTCGAGATATCTATGCACCAACTTGAGGGGGAGTGTTGGCGTTAGCTGTCAACAAAATTGTAGGGACTATAATAGGAATATAGTTATTAATTGTTAATTTCTCTGATTTGGTTATAATTATTTTGATTTAGTTATAATTAGAAATAGGGTTTTCTGTGTATATAAATATAACCAATTCCCATCTGATGTATACGATTGAAATATATGAAAAATATTATACCAATTTAACAATCACATCATTGTTCGACGATGACACTCACATCTTACCGAACGAAAGAACAATTATCTCAAGGTTAGATGTTCTTCTCACCTACGATGCGTTTTATTTTTATTTTTTGTTTAATCTATTGTTCAAAGAGGGAAATTGAAAGAGGATTAAGGTTTAGGGTTTTTTCTTTTTAGGTTATTGTAATAGATTTCTCAATCCCAGATTGTTGTATTGATCATGTTTTTATTTGGTTTTGGATTGTTATTAGATTGAGTACTAAACTATGGCATCACCAATACATTTAAATGAAACTGACATAAGCAATCAAATTTTTATTTGTTTTGTTATTTTGGTTAGACGGTTGAATCTTATTTATCAGTGAAATTAATGAATATTTCTAATAGCTTCTCAATCTCATGTGGTTTAATATGGGAGTTAGTAAGTATGTGGGACGTACGTAGTAGGGGATTTAGGGTTAGGGATAAGATAGTTCTCTTTACTCCGATTGATGTTTGTTTTGCTCTTGGATTATCTATTGTTGGTAAGTCTCTAGTAGTAGAAGAAGATCAACAAAGTCAAACATTAGATCTATTTAAAGGGGTTGAGGTAACCATTCATAATATTCGCAAACAACTTCGTTCCCACAAGAAAATTTTAGTTAACTTTGTTAGACTTTACATATTACTTGCATTTGCGGAGTTTTACTTTTCCAAAATAGGATATAAGGTCTTTACCAGATTTATTAAGAAATTGGATGATCTGGACTCACTTGATATAACTTTATGGTTTCTAGTTTATGTGAGTCTTCGGGTGTTGAAGGAGAGAAAAAACAAGGCACACAAACATTTAAATGGGTTTGCTGCCATATTGCAAGTAAATAGATTATATAACTTTATAGTTTCATCATGTATTTTGAATATTTAAATTTTTTAAATTTACATCTTATAATATTTGTTATAGATTTGGGCATTTAACCATTTATCTTTGGAAAAAGCACCTGCTGTTTCTAGGTTTTCGTCCCCGGTTATAACTATGCAGAAGAAAAATATTGAAAAATCATTTGACAAAAATATGGTAAGATTTTATGTATTTGAATTGAGAAAAATAGGTTTTTTGTTGTCGTGTGTTTGAATTGATTGTTTTTTATTAGATAATTGATAGAATAGTTGCAACAGAGGAAGAACTGGAATATGACATAGTGAATGCTGCTTTGTTTGAACAAGGACAACAATTTGTGAATGTGTATGATTATCAAAGATTGGTGGATGAGAATAAAGATTTTAAAGAGAGGATAACAATTCTTGAGGAGGAAATGAGGATGATGAAATAGGCGAGAGTTAACACTCCGTTTCAGGACGAGGATGTTCAAGATGATCGACAACTTGTGAACTTTGTCATTGAAGATGAATTAGGGACTTCGGCTGGAGATGTTGGACATAACACTCCACTTAATGATGATGCCATTGTTGAAGAAAACTTATCAAAGTCTAAATCCAACATGGCTACAAGAATGAGGAAGAAACCAAGGAAGCGTGGAAAAAGAACTAGAATGAATTTGTAATGCATTAGTGTTGTAGAAATTTGATAAATATGTATTGTAGAATTTGGCACAATTATGATGTGTTGTAGTGCAGAATTTGGCACAATTATGATGTGTTGTAGTGCAGAATTTGGCACAATTTTAATATTTGGTGGTCTTGTTTTGTTTATGTGCACAGTGTGTTGATTATAGTATAGTTCATTTTGTATTTAATATGTTGAGTAGGTTATAGTTCATTATTGTGTTAATACGTTGAGTATGTTATGGTTCCCTTGTTTTGAAGTCTGGAATTGCATTAACCAAGTTTAGTCTTACAAATTTCCCTTGTTTTAAAGTCTGGAATTGCGTTAACCAAGTTTGACAATGTATTAACCAATTTCCACCAATGTATTAACCAAATTTGTTTTAAGCAATTTCTCTTGTTATGAAGTCTAGGATTGCGTTAGCCAAGTTTGACAATGTATTAACCACGTTCCAATAATGTATTAACCAAGTTTATTTTAAGCATTTTCCCTTGTTTTGAAGTCTGGGACTGCGTTAACCAAGTTTAACGATGTATTAACCAAGTTCTAGCAATGTATTAACCAAATTTGTTTTAAGAAATTTCCCTTGTTTTGAAATCTGGGATTGCGTTAACCAAGTTTGACAATGTATTAATCAAGTTCCAGCAATGTATTAACCAAGTTTGTTTTAAACAATTTCCCTTATTTTGAAGTCTGGGACTGCATTAACCAAGCTTGACAATGTATTAATCAAGTTTGTTTTAAATAATTTCCCTTGTTTTGAAGTCTGAGACTGCATTAACCAAGTTTGACTTCCATTAACCAATTTCTAGAAATGTATTAACCAAGACTAGAACTATATTAACAAAATACTTTTATATATTATATACACCAAAACGTTTTATACAATTGTTATAATGATAAAAGTAAATTTACAATATTGCAACATTTACACTCCAGAAGTATATTTACAATCTTACAACATTGCACTTGAATATTTCACATGCACCAACAAATGTAACTATCGTTAGTGTATGTAATGTTTTGAACAAGATTTAAAAAAAATGTTTTAACACCATACCATCGTATGTCAAGTTTATCAAAATAGTATAGATATGTGACAGTCTTCCCAAAATACGCATGTCACTAGTTAATAACCAAAAATTCCCAAAGATCATCATAAATTTGTACAAACTTGGGATGAACCTGTCAAGAGTGTTTCACATGTTGTCAAAAGATCCATGAATGACATACAACTTCCAACCTATACAATAACATACAAAAACCTAAAATATGAAGTACATAAAATCAATTCCATAATAAATTAGTATTACAATGATTACACATAATTTATCCGCAACAACTAAATACATTTTCCACAACTCGTACATACGAATTCCTTAAATTTAAAACACAACAAATTCCTCAAATAGTACATATGAATTCAAACATTATTTAATACAATATTATAATGGACACAAACCACAATAATCGAATCTAAGCAATTTCCTCCACTAACAACCTCAAGAGATGATTCTACACAAACATTACTTCCAAATTGATTTCCCACCATTCCAGTATTGCACTCCTACACAGTTAGAGAAAAAAAATATTTCGATTCCATATACATAACCATTTGTATAAGATATCATTTATGAGTGAAAATAGACATATGACTGTAAGCTCAATGTGATCATTTTTTTGTTCGCTTCCTTGACCTCTTAGCAATCGTTTCATCGACAAATGTCTTTCTTTTAGATGAAGAATGACCTTTGTGCTTGACATGTTTTGGACTGCGAATTCTATTACTATTGATTGCATTAGAATCATCATTGAGATTTTCTTCAATAAGTGTATTATCCTTTGTGGACATATTAGAGCTAAAAAAATGTAATGTTTCATGGAGGTCTTCGATAGTCTCTTCTGACTCAGCAGCTACTTCAACAACCTCATAAAAATGCTTGCATAATTTGTCAAACCTGACCATTTGTGGCTTCAGGTCTGTTGCACCATAACTAGTCATGATATATGAATGCTTCCTTTTCTGCCCGACTTCTAATAACATTATCATATTGTTTCACAAATTAATTTAGATTTGTTATAGAATTGATATATCTATCAAAGAAAGCATGTATACTCTCACTACGCTGCGTAGTTGACATACCATCCCAAAAATACTTCCTTAATAATGTTGGTGCCCATCTATGACGCTTAGTATACAAACCACCCAACCAATCATTTTCATGGAGATCAAATTTTTCTATGAATGAACACCAATTACGATCAGGATGATGATAACTGTGTTCTATGTTGTATATACACCAGTATGATGATTTGCTAAGTCTTTATCAAGCGACCAATGTTGAGTAGAAGGACTTTCCATATGAGTTACCTTGGAAATGAGCATAGTAACATGGCTCCCTCCAATTACGCTAAATGAAAAACGTATTCTACTTTCCACTATGACTCAATATGAAGAATATCGAACTTCCACTTGAATCAGAACAAGAAAGGCAACTACAATTGGGATAGTAGGGGACCCCGTACACATGGTTCTCCCAAAAACATACCTGACATCAACAACTGTATGCAATAGGGAAACTCTGAGTGTCCTCTTTGTAGTTCTTTTTGTTTGGTTGCATAAGGTAATAAAAACATATGTACAATATGTATTTTAGGCAATATGTGGAACAAGATGTTCCAGCATGTGTTCCAACATCTGAGTTTGTTTCTAGGAAGAGTTGTTCAGCTAAAGTGCTTGACACAACCAGTAAAGCAAGAGTTTATAAGCTAAAGTGCTTGACAGAACCAATTAAGCAAGAGGTTCCAAGATCTAACTAAAATATTTAAAAGAACTAGTTAAGCAAGAGGTTGAGCATGTAAGTATGTATCATTTTAGCATAAGGTTTGGATTGTGACTATCTTCAGATGTCCTTCATAAGAGTTATAGAGTTGACTTCTTCAAAAAACTCAGAGGTTTGCTTTTGGGAAGAAGGTTGTGTTGTTAATCCAAAATTTATTTGAAAATATTTAGATTTGTTTCCATTAAAGAAGATTTGATTGGATGTACCTTGAAGGAAGATTAGGTCCAATATTTACTCTACAAAGCAAATTTCTATGAAAAGAGTTATTTTGGATGTTCTGGTGTAACATGTGGAACACCATGTTTCAACATGTGTGTTGTAACACCCTTTTCTACCCCACAGATATTACGACAAAATAACACAGATTTTAGAGTAAAATATTTAACTCAATAAAAATCACCTCAAAGGGCGTACATTTCTCATGTTACTCAAAATAAGCCAATACTCTGTGTACAACGGGTTTTGCCCGAAATACATCAAACTACACAAAACAGCAGAACTCAAAAGGCATAATCAAGGTTTTTCTCATCCGGGAAGATAATCAAAATAAACTCAACTCAAAGACCCCCAACCCGATGTTACACTATCAGAGCAAGACCTTCTATGTTGACCAAAGGCCAACAACTCAAAACTTCAAAAGTCCTTAATGGCATCCACGGCTAAACCTGGTATCTGCACGTTACCCACATAGAGGTAACATTCAAACAGGCAGGGTGAGTAAAACAATTCATAATAATCAACAAAACCACTGAAAACCACCAAAATATGAATATTATCAATTAAATAAATTAATTAAAATATTCCAATTAAATTTGGGGTGTTACAACTCTCCCCCACTTAAAAGAATTTTCACCCTCGAAAATTACCTCAAGGAAACAGAGTCGGATACGACTCCCTCATCTGATCCTCACGCCTCCAAGTCCAACTTTCTACAGCTAGTCCTCCCAAAACTACCTTTACCAAGGCAACCTCTTTACCTTAAAAGTATGCTTCTCGTTCATCAATCTGAACTAGCAATGCCTCATCAGTCAAATCATCTCTCACTTATACATCATCCATCTGAATCACATGTGACGGATATAGAATGTACTTCCTCAACTGAAACTCATGAAACACATCATGCAAATTCACAAGCGACAGCGGTAAAGCAGTCTAACATGCTACTTCTCCCACGCTTCCGCTGCGCCACTCTGATATGGACCAACAAACCAAGGTGTGAGCTTTCGAGACTTCAAAGCTCGGCCAATACCAGTTACCGGCGTAACTCTCAAAACACATGATTTACCCCTTGAAATTTAAGTTCTTTCCTCTTCTTATCATGGTAACTCTTCTAACGACCCTGCGAAACATTCATCTTTTCCTTGGGTCCTCTTGATCTTTTCAGTCGTCACTTATGCAATATCAGGTCCGAGTATAACATTCTCGCCTGACTCATATCAACACAAAGAAGTCTTACACCTCCTACCATACAAATCCTCATACGGTGCCATTCCGATACTAGAATGGTAACTGTTGTCGTAGGTAAACTCAACCAACGACAAATAAATATCCCCCGATCCACCTTGATCCAACACACAAGCTCTCAAAAAATCCTCTAAGGACTAGATAGTTCTCTCTGTCTATCCATCCGTCCGCGGATGATAGGCAGAGTTCAACTTCAACATGGTACCCAAAGTTGTCTGCAAACTCTCCCAAAATCTCGATGTAAATCTCAGATTTCCATCTGACACAATATTCGACGATATCACATAAAACTTCACAACTTCCTCAATATACATCTTAGCTAGCTTCAACATAGAATGATTAATCCTCATTGGTATAAAATGAGCTGATCTAGTCAATCTATCCAAAATCACCCAAATTGAATCATATCCCTCTCACAGTCTTCGGAAAACCCGACACAAAATCCATGGAAACACTATCC